GGTCTGACTTCATGGCTGACCCTGCTTTGAGCAAGAGGTGGGACTAGAGATCTCCTGAGGCTCCTTCCAACCTGAATTATTTCATGACTCTGTGATAAAGGTCTGTGATATACAAAGGATTAGAAGGATATTACTTCATTGTCCCTTTTGACTGAAAATTCCATGGATCTAGGTGGCTTTTTTTTTTTTTTTTTTTTGAAGAGATTGAAGTAATTGAATTTTGGTTTAGAAATTATAGATAGCTCTTGAATGACTTCTCATACATTTGCTTTTGTCTTTAGAGGGGCTGCGGAATGAGGATGTTGCATCTGAAAACATTCTGCAGAGCCTATATTCCACGTTTTTCTGTCTTTTTTGCAATGTTATAATTTTGTGGAGTATTTCTTATCTTTTGGCTTGTAGTGCTTTACAGGCTCTTTATACCTTTCACTAATTTTCAGCCAATCAGTACGTTAATGAGAGCAATGGCCTATGTATTTTCAATCTATTATGTTGCAGTTGCTCTGCTCTGGATATTGTAAGAGTTTATGCCCCCTGAATCTTATTTGCAAGACAATTTTGTAGTTGTTTTCCATCTTAGCCATCCCATAACCGTTCGCACACTTCAACAGTAGAATATGTTTGTAGTATATTCTAATTTACAAAGGTTTTCTCACCCCTAGCTACCCAATGATGCTGTTAATATATTAATACACCCCCTGATCTTTGTCTTGAGCCTTTTTTTTTAATTTGTGATAACTTCCATCATACTCTGAGCTGGCCAAATTCCCGTGCACTGGAGTCCTTTTGTGTTAATCCATGTTTGCTCTGTGTGGTCTTTAGGCTTCTGGTATGCCAGGAAACAGAGAAAAATTGCTGCTTGTTTTTTTCTTCAAACTTCTATTTTTGATCTTGTCTCAGTCTAGTTTGGACACTGAAAGATCTAGGTCATGCAGATTTGGTGTTTTGTTTTGGTTTTTTTTTAATATTCAGAAAATCTTGAAGTTGTGTATGTTTCATCTTCTTAGAGACATTTGGTGTAGTGCTAAATTAGTGATTTTTTTTTTTTGCCAGCTGTATGAAACGGAGTTAACATTGATTTGAAAAAGGGATAATTGCCAGACTCCAAAGAAACATTTGCTTAAGTTTTCACTCTTAGTTCCAGTAACAATTTTAAAATTAATTTGTTCTCCATTTCCAGTGTCACAAATTAATCTCTTGTGCAGTCTTGCTTTGTAAATTTGACTGTTGGACTTAAAAGTTGAAGTACCCAGTTCACAAAATACTGAGCTGAAAATTATATGCGTCGGGCGTGTTAGATACAGTGTTTGCAGTCTTATCAGTTCTTGATTACATCATGTTTCCATATTTTACATCATATTAGCTGTAGTTCCAATAGACATAAGAGCAAAGTTTGACTGCTTGCTAGTTTTCTGGAAGGTTTGCTAGCATAATTGGGAAGCACATCTGTTCTGTGCTTTTAAGTGCTAACTCCTGAAGACGGTCCCACCTCTGAACAGCAGCTGAACAACCAGTGTCTTGTTTATTTGCTTCAGCAGTGCTGGTCCACCTTTGCATTTCTATGATGCAACAGTGGTTAAGTCTACTAGACTGGTTATGGAAACATCAGTATGCTCTGTTGGCAAAACTGTTTGGGCGACTATAGTAAAGATATTCATGAGCAAAGCAGTCTGTCAAGGGAAAATACAGACTTGCTGGTGTATCTGTGCTTCAGCTAGCAGTATTTAATTGACACAATCCTGTTGGTAAGGGGTTAATGATGAGTGAGTGGCTGGTACCTAACAATTAACAAGAAGGTTTTGCTAGTCAGAGTAGACATGGTGGCTTACTTGGATTCTGCTTAACGTTCTTTTTTTTTCTTTTTTTTTTTCCCCAAATATAAAATCTTAATTCTTGCATGGGAGTACTGTAGTTCTGCATTTGTTTTCTGTGAAGTCCACTGATGACTTTTTACTAGTTTGAATTTTTGTCACATCAAAATATTTTATTAAAGTCCAGCTTAACTGAATCTTAAGAAGTGGGTTGTACTACTCTTGCTGCCTTGCGGTTTGCTGAATGGAAAATTGTGTACAGATCTGATAATAGTCTGTCAGCACTGTGAGGTTTTGGTTTTGGAGGTTTTGTTTTACCTTTTTTTTTTTTTTTTTTTTTTTTTTTTTAAAGAAAAAGCTGGGGGAGAAAAAAATGCTGTTTAACTGATATAAAAAAATAGCACACAAAGCAAGGTATTTTGGAACGTTATATTTAGTAGATGTCTCCATGAAGCAAAGTTAATTGGATGCATTGGGAAGCATTGTGAAATTGTCATGACAGCCTAATTCTGAGGCTTAGGCTTGGTCTGCTCTTGGCTTCACAGGCATGTCTGTGTGCATGTAGATTCTGATTATTTTCAGTAAGGTAGTTATGCTTGTAAAAGGCCTGTTACGCAGTTTGTTCTGTTAAATTGCAATAAACTGTATGGATGCAACTGCTGTGCCAAAGAAGTGTTATGTTGTTTTGATTTTGATGACCTAGCTAAGAAAGTAAAACTTAACTGTAGGTAAAACCAAAGTCAATGTTCACAGCTACGAGTTTGCCCCACAGATAGTTAGCTCCTAAATCTCTATTGTGTCAATAAATGCTTCCCATATATGTTGCACTGCAACATATAGCATGATTTTATTCTAGTTTATTCTAGTTTGTTTTTTAAGTGTGCACATCTATTTTGAGACTGCCTGAAATCTGTAGGCAGAAGTGCTAGAAGTTTGGACTTTAGATGTTCTGTTCCCGTTGTTATTTTCCAGCTTGTAGACTCTAGCAGGTCAACACAATGTCTTGCCTGGAATTTCCTTGCATTCTAAAATTAGGAGAAGGGTCTAGGAAACAATAGCAAATCAAGTCTCTAAACCTCCTGCTCTGGCTTGAGCCTTTGTTGTCATTTAGACTTTCACCTACTTCCTTTCTTACTACACTGATTTGCATTAGATAAACTGAATTAAAAAGAACTTATGCTGTTCAGTGTCAAGAGGACTTTTTTTTTTTTCCTTCTTTTTTTTACTTATTATGGTCTCCTGTACTACTTTAGGACCTCAGGAGTATGAATTTCATATCATTGCTGTTCGTCCCAGAGCACTTCTCCCTTTCAGTATGGGGAGTGATGTGGAAGCACGACAACCTCCATGTAGCAAAGGCCGTGTTGTGTTTTGCAGTCCCTCAAACGTGCACTTGTACCCAGCAGAGCTTCCTGACTAAGACATCTCTATGGGAAACTGCAGAGGTTTTGATCTACAGCAGAGAAACTTCTCAAGTTACATTATTAGACCTCATCTTCATCCCTTCTAGTGGGGCAAGCTGCTCTCTTTACGGTCTGTGTATCTTTTCACGGTTATGTTGTGTATCACCTTTTCTTTCCCTACCCCTCCCTTGTCTGGTCTGTATCATCGTTCTTTGCGATGTTATGGGTGATAGTTGTGGGCGTCCCATGACCCTGAACTTGAACAAATCTCAATAACCCCACAACCATGCCTGGGGAGGTACATTTCAGCAACCTTTTATGCAGATGGATTACCAGAAAAGCAACTGAGAAAGAAGGTTCAGACCTCAAATTCTTGTTTGGTCCTTCTCAGTGTGGTCTGTGTAAGCATCCCTGACTCTCTGGACATGTTTTCTGATCTGTAAGTAATCCTGTGATTACATCTTCTGTTGCTTACTGTAACTTCCTCTCTGCCTCTGGCATAGGACAGACAGGATGATTACATGGATTAGAAGTGGCTTCTGTGTGTCACTTTGTAGACCTGAGCTTGTTCCTAGCTTCATCGCTACTTTCTTTTGCATCATGGGTTGAGTTATTAGCTGCTTAAGGTTTGGCCATCTAAAACTCATAAAGTGTTAGAGGTGACTTAGAGCACTTGTTTGTGCTGTGGCAGAACCCAAGCACGCAATCGGCGACACAGTGTTGCTATGTGTGTGTGCAACAGTCTCTGCCTTTATCTATTTGTGGATTATGGGTAAACTTCTTAAAACTGTCTCATTTTCTGCAGTGGCCCAATATTGTCTGTTTGTTATTCCCAGGCACCCTGAAATGATCCAGGAAATGCAGCAAACACCACAGCCATCCTGTCTAGTATCCTATGTCTGACAATACTTAGAAGCATCTGCAAGATTTGTTCAGTTGATAATTATAGTATGTTGTTTAGTAAACTTACTGAGAGGATGTTGGTGTCTAGAAAGAATATGATTGATGAATCTTGTAATTTACCATTTATATCTAATATAATAACTGCCTTCTGAGAATAAGGATAGGTGTGAAGAAAAGTTGGATGCTGTTAGACTACGAGACCTCTAGAGGTCCCTTCCAGTCAATACTTCTATGACTGTGCTGTTTCTAGAAAGGAATTTTCTTTCCTTCTCTAATTCTTTGTTACTTGGGCCCTACAGATAGTTTGCCTGCTCCTTTTCTTTTCTGGTACAAGTGGCACAAACACTTTCCCTGTTGTTGTAGGCACCTGTCACTGATGTTCTGACAAAACGTACTGTATGGCAGATGTGTGTTACAGCAGGGACAGGACTTTGGTCTGGAAGTCCCCTTATGTTTCTCCTTTGTCGGCTTCTGTGGACCAGACTCATAAACACTGTAGTGTCTGTGGGCAAGCTGCTTTATAGTGACTTCCTCATGATGATAGTATTTGAATGGCTAAGATGAACTGTTATCTTAGGAAACAAGGAACATCCATTTTGTATCCTACAAGGGAGGGAGAAGAGCAGTGGGATAATAGAGAAGTTAAATGAATCGTCAAGGTAAACTCATTAAATGCTTTTCTTCTTTCACCCTCGTCTCTTGTAGACCTTAATTGGGGTTCTAATCTGTGCAGCAACTGCACTCTGAGGACCTCACCAGGACAGAGGTTATAAGAGAAGGCAGTTGTCTTCTCCAGGGATGGATGCTCAGGTTTGCCCTGAGGTGAGAAGACAGGTTTCCCACAGAACTTCTGCTGACCCATTTTTGTTCTCTCCTGTCATAGCCATTCTTTAGGCTTCTGAACCTGCGCAAGCTGGGTCTGAGTGACAATGAAATCCAGAGACTTCCCCCTGAGGTTGCCAACTTCATGCAACTGGTGGAACTGGACATCTCCCGTAACGGTAAGGTCAAAGCTCAATGGGGAGTGGGTGCCCCACAGCCCTGCTTCTCTCAGTGTAGCAGTACTACCTTGTGCACTCATGTTCTAGAAGAGGCAGTACCCTTTCGCAGTCCTGCAGAGTGCTCTCATGGGTCCGGAGCTAAGAAAATATGTTTGTCTTACTGTGTCTTAGGCTGTCACCGGTACCTGGTGTCCCATTTTCCACATGATAGGCTCTTCTCAAGCCTCTTTTTTTCTTTCATGTATTTTTTTCCAGACATTCCAGAAATTCCTGAAAGCATCAAATTCTGCAAATCCTTGGAAATCGCAGACTTCAGTGGGAATCCTCTCTCCAGGTAGGAAGGCATATGCAACCCTTTTGTCCAGCTGAGTATGAGAGTTGAAGTTCCTCATTCTCCCTAGCTTTCTCTGGTCTTCACCTTGTAATTGTCTTCCCTTGAAGTCAAGGCCTAGGATCACCCTGCCTTTGCCATGATGTCTGCTCTCCTGACAGGTGGAATGCTCCGCATAGGGAAGAGCTGGTGTGTGCTCCCTCTTCTGCAGAGCCTATGGCTTGGACTGATGAGCCTTTAGTCATACTGTTGCCACTGGTGTGAATGGTGAGGACTTTTGTCCTCTTGGAATAAGTTTGTTACTCCTTCCCCAGCCCTTCACCCTGGTGCACAAACCAGAATGGATGTGGACTCGTACTACAGAGGAATAGAGAAAGGCCTGCATGGTATTTTCTGCTCTCTGTCAGTCAGTCCTTTTTGCTCTCTTTCTTATTTATAACTTAAGATGGCTGTCCTTTGAACTCTATGTTTGGCCAGTTTCCCTGGTATCCCAGTGCTCAGAGCTATGTCCAAGAACAGGGCTCTCTGCCTTGTCTCTTCAGTCTTCTGTCTCTACAGCTCTTAATCCCTAATGTTTTGGGAATTTAAGTGTGGCTCCTCTGCCTTGGTGAACCGTGCTTTCAGGCAGTGGTGTCTTGATGCATTGTCTGCCAGGGTCCCTGTAGATGCCAGTCTGACTCCAGATGCCTCCTGCCCTTTGTGCTTCTGGGCAAGCACTGCGCAAGTCACCCTTTAAATAGATTTAACTCTCTGCTTCCCTCTTGTGGTGCCAGACACTGCCAGAATGGGGCAAGCTTTCCAGCCGGTGACAATCCCTGTATCACAGGAATGACCATCACTTCTACGCTAGAAGTTATTTGTCAGAGTCTTTTTGCGTCCCAGAGTTGTAAGATGTGTGTTGTGAGCAATGGGGCATGGAAGCTCCAGGAACTGCCTGTGAACAGCAAAGCATTTCTCATTTTCACAGTCTTTCCCTGTTCTATTGCACCTTAGAGCTGTTATGATGATACTACTTGGTCCTGGGGAATGCTGCCATGTCATCTGCAGAAATATCCTTAGATGGGCATTTGGATTACTTGGTAGCCTTCCCTGCTTGCAAGTTTGAATGATCACATGGCATAATTTAGTCTGGGATTCGTATTTGAATACTGCAGAGCCAAGTTTGCACACTTGGACATGTAGTGACTTTGGTGCAAGGGGGTATTGTTGTCTTGGAAATGGGGCATATCCTGGATCAGGAGCCAGGGTCAGAGTTGGTTGCTGCTCTTCTACTTTCCACATGTTGATACCAACTGGGATAAGACTGGCTTTTGGGGGTTTTAAGTGAGGAATTTAGGGCTTGTTTTGTGCACAGAATTAGTGGTGGTTTGTTCTGTCATGTTTTCACAGGCTTCCAGAGGGCTTCACACAGCTTCGGAGCCTTGGCCATTTGGCCCTGAATGATGTGTCCCTGCAGAGCCTCCCCAATGACATTGGCAAGTGAGTATGCCCCCGTTCCTCATAATGGGGAGGAGGGGTGGGGTGGGGACACCATGCTGTTTGGGTGGTGACACTAGCAGGACTTCGAGGGAAAGAGCGTGCCATCCCAGTTATAGCTTGCCACTGTACTGAACATACTGTGTAAGGACCTCTAAGCATTATTCTTGTTAAAAGACAAGCTTTCTAAAAAGGTTCCTTTCCTGGTCTCAGCTGCTTCTCCTCCTCTGTGGTCTGTGGGACAGGCAAGGAGTGCATCCAGGCTTCCCAAATCCTCCATCTTTCCTTATTTTATGAGTGCCCATTTGCCCCTTTCCAAACAGGTGTGGTCTGTCCGATGATGTTGAAATGATTTATGCTGCTAGCAAATGGCCAAGGCAAAGCCCATGGGCTGCAGTGCCCCCGCTATGGGATTTGGCTTTCTACACATGAGGGATGTTATCTTTTTGGACAAACAGTCCTGTATGTGATACCATGTTTCCTTGTCCTGAGTTTGGGCACAGTGTTGTTTCCCCATGATATTGCAATAAGCAGTCACCTTCATAAGAAGTCATTTAAGATCCTCTTTGTTTTTTGTTTTCCCCTGTCATCTCCATTCATGTGTACACACATACTCATGTATATGCATTCGTGCAGGTCATGAGGGGTGGTTCCATGGGAAGGGATATGAGCATCTCCTTGTATCCCTGAAGCCCCGTTCAGTGAATCTGTCTTTCTTGCTCCCTTTTATCTTGCAGTTTAGCAAACCTGGTGACTTTGGAGCTACGTGAGAACCTTCTAAAGTCTCTCCCCACGTGAGTGTCTGTTTGTTGGCTTCAAGGAGTCTCCTGCCTGATCATTCTTACTGATTCTTCAGGGACTTGCTGTTTCTGTAGTACAGGCTCTAGCACTTTGCTTGGGAGGGCTCAAGGCTTTGCATAAATTAGCTGCATCTTGCTGGATTTCTGTAAATTGGGGTGAGGAGGGAGAGAGATGGTACAGGGCTTAGAAGGATGTTCAGTCTGCACTCAGCCTCTGTGTCAGGATTGATTTGAAATAGACAGGGTTCCACAAGAAAGCTGCTGGAAGTGGTGAGAACCATTTTTCGGAGCAGATGACGGATTCCTCTGGAAAAAGAGAGAAGAATGTACTGATGTGGGTATAGGAAGAACTCTGTATACAGTGACGTTCATAATTTGAAGAGCAGCAGAATACGGCTGAAGTTACATTTTGCTTCTCACATTTCTGTTTTCTTGGGTACTGAGCAGTTTGTGGGAATGGGTGGGATAACTGGCTTTCCTGCAGCAGACAAAAAATAAGCCAGCAAGAGAGAAGAGGTAAGTCTTGTTAAAAGTTTCAGAGGGTTAGGGACAGAGATGAATTCCTGGTAGAGGATCTGGTTGGTACAGCTGATGCTATCAGGTAGATAGGATGTGGAGAACTAATGAGTCTGTATGTTAATCTCTGGTTTGAAGCCCATAAGAGTTGTTTATTGAGTTTTCTAAGCTACATTAGTGCTGTCAGCTTTTTTTCTGCCTGCTTATGCATCCAACTGATGATTTCCCCAGTCTTCCTTGAATATATGTTGGAAGGGATTCTACCTGACTTCTTTTTGAATAGCAGTGTGTTTTGGGGCCACACAAACTCCTCAGTGAATGTGTGAAGCATGCAACTATTGTCACCTTCCCCAGTGCCCTCTTTACTATTCATGGCAAGTATTCAATTTGGCTACCTGTACTTACCCCCGTTGCTCCTGTGCTTTATTTAAAAAGGAGGGCAAAGGAGCATCTGATGATACAGTGTTCAAACAAGGCTTTGAGACTCTAAGCAGCTAGGGCTTTAGTCTTGCTTCTTCTGTGATGGCCATGCCTCCCTCACTGTGAGATGTTGCCTTGACTCAGGCATATGCTCTTCTGATGGTTATTTTCCTCTGGGACCTGCAAGTCCAGGCTTTATATGACATCAGTTATATCTGCTTGTAGAATTCATGTGTCAACTTTGACCCAGAGGACAAGACACTTCCAAAAAGGAGCTGAAAGAGTCTGCACTGCGCAGTTCCCAGGCTTCACATCTGGTGATTACACAATGTAGAAGCATAGTTCAAATTAACACTGTCATCTTGTCTCTGATGCCAAAGTCACTGGATCTTTTCTGCACAGAATTTATCAGCATTAACACCCTGTCACAGAAAGGCGATATTAAAAGACCAGCTGAGGTGGCCCCACATGGAATATAGCCACAAGGGAGAACCTGAGAGCCAAAGCTTCTTATGCCAGGTTGAGAACAGGCAAGCAGGAGAAGTTTGGGTCCTGGTGTTGGGACCCACTGCTCTCTGTTCCATGTGTTCTTTGTGTTCATACAGACAGCTACCACCACTGTGATGCACCATATAAACGAAGAGGTGCAATAGCTACATCCAATGTTGGGCTTTCAGACTGCAATGAAGAATTGTCCCAATGGCTTTTCACCACCTAGGAACCAGCAAGTATCTGGAGTTTGAGAATTCAGTCTGTGACCAAACCCATATGGTTTCTGGGGAGATACCTCATGCCTAGTGCTCCCTTGTTTCCCTATGTTAGATTTGTATGCCATCCAGCAAGATACTTGTAGCATGCTATGAATTTGGGTTTTTTATCTCTGAAAGATAAGTCCAGGCTTGATAATCATTCTGCAGTACAATTCCAGCTTCTTTTTCATCTTTCCCTAATTCCCCAGATTCTACTTTTGGATGATTTCCAAAAGTAGAAGAGGATCTTGAAGGCCAAGGCAATTTCACCAGATATGCCAGTCAAATATGAGATCGAAATCAATGGCTAAAGAAATTTCAGTGTCAGGTACTTTACCCAGGTCTGAAGCTCTTGTACTTAGTCTGGTTGCAGATTGTGCCCAAGAGCGGCTCTAAACGAAGTCCAAGTAATTTTTTCAAAGAGTAGCATGACTTATCAAAATGGATAATGCTTTCATTTTTTCAAGGTTACTGAACCCAGTAGGTAGATGGGCTTCAATACTGTGAATTTGTGACTGCATAATGCATCAGTGTCCTTTTGATTTTTGTTGTTGTTGAGCTCCTTAAAAGATCCAGCTTGCAATGACCTTTACTTGTCAAAATTTCATTTAATTGGTTAGTCTTCTGTTGTCAACTGAGTTCTGAAACAGTTCATCTTGTACAGCTGATTATCACTCCTCATCTCTCCCACGCAGATGGGATGCAGCTTGCCAATAATTTGGGAAGGCTAGGTCTTGTTGATGTATTCTCATGGAATAGCGGAGGGTGATCTATACTGAGGCATTTTGCAAGACCTCATATATCAACATGGATTCCACAGCTCACTTGTCCCTATTTTGGGAATTAAAACCATGAAGGTGTGAAGGGACAGTCAAGGCTGCTTCGTCCTTCAGAGAAGTCAAAGAGCAAATGTACACTCATAATGAGAGACTGCTATACAAGAGAATCCTTTTGATGATCCTGTTGATAAACCTTTGCTTGAGTTAATACAGTATCTCAAAATCCACCACTGCCTAAGGTAAAAACTTGGTTTTCCTGTGTAGCCCAAATATTTTTATAGCCCAGCCCAGTTAAGACAGAACTCTTTTGTTGCTTTCTCACAGATTCGCAGCTCCCAACTTCCTTAGTTTGGATGGCGTTGAGATGTATAGCTCTATTTCCAGAGAAATATAGTGATTTCTATATTAGGACAATTTCTTATGAAGAGAATCAAGAGAACTGAAGACCCTCCCTACTGGGGAAGTGGTCAGGGCTGAGATGGCAGTTCTGCCCTAGTGTAAAGTGAGAGACAGCAACCCCTGTCTGGGGTAGTGGGAGTTGGAGTTGATGGAGTAGGACTGAGAGCTGAGGACACATGAACACCTGGGCTATGTCAGAAGAACTGAATTCTGGTTTTGTGGGGCTGTAGACTGCAGGCTTTTATGTCACCAGGTCATAATGTGTTTGGATACTCGGGGCACATCCTTGGACCACCAGTGTTGACAGGCTTTGGTTCCCATGAAAGCTTCTTGCAGCATCTTGCCTAGTGAGCTTCTTGTCTGTATGTCTTGACCTCTTCTGAGATGTCATGCCAGTGTTGTCTTTCCCTTTCTTTTACGCAGCATGGGCATCCCATTCAGGGAAACTGAGGCTGTTGAATTTGTCATTCCTGCCTCTCCCTGCAGCTATGCTTCCCTTGCTCCCCAAGTATGTATTGTCCTCTGCTGACTCTCTTCTGTTATCTGTTAGTCTGTGCCCAGGTCCCCATCCTTGCTACAAAAATGGGCAGCAGTGTTAAGGTGTGGCTTGTCATCTGTCATGTTTTTGCTCAAAGAGTATTTTACGGTGGGAGGGGGAGAAGGTAAATTGGTGACAGCGTGGAAACTGGCCACTTTGGGAGTGCTGGTGCTACTGAACCCAATTGCCCGGTGCAGGTGGTCTGGCTTGGGGAAAGGTACCCACTCCCCTAAACCGCTTGGCTCAGAGGGACTACGAAAAAGGTCAGAATTGCCCCACCTGTTTCAGGAGTTATTAAAAACTATGTAATTTGTGAGATATGTGTCCCAGATGCTAACCTTCTATTCCTTCTTTCTTTTTTTTTTTTCCTCTCTTCCCCTCTCTACTCCTTGTATCTTGCAGTTCATTGTCCTTCCTTGTCAAGTTAGAACAGTTGGATCTTGGTGGCAATGACCTGGAAGTACTGGTAGGTGAGGGGTGGTGGGGAGGGAATATGGGTGGTTGGTAGGGGCAGAACCCTGTACCTCTGTGGGAGCAAGTGGTTTTTCCTCTGAAATGCAAAGAAATAGACCCACAGGTTGTTTGAGAAGATTCTGATCTGCCCACCATGGCCTAGTCATTGTTCCCAGAATAATGTTCTCTTCATGTGTTGGCCCTTGTCTTGCTTCCTGTTGTCCTCATGCACAGCTTCCTCTGCTCTTTCCAAGCACTTTTGCTCTGGGATGTTAATTCTTGCTATCTAGCTGCCTAAGGATCTTCCTTTCCAGTGAGACTCTTCCTTTCTCTTCTGTGTTGCACTGCCCCCAGTTGTTGTTTTTCACTTCTGCTAGGCCAACTTTCTGCCTTTCTCCTTTGTGATTTGATTTGTCTACTGCAAAGTGCAGGACCATTCCATGTTGTTCCTGGCAGTGAACTCAGCCAAACATGGGGTGTGTTCCCTCTGGACTGGGGTGCATCCATGGAGGGCTCTGAGTGTAAGTATGCTGAGAGCCAGTGCACAGTCTCGAAATCCAGCTTGTCTTGACATTCAGGGACCTCTGGTGATATTCTTTAATTTTGCAGCTATGGATTAAGCTGTTACTGAATCCTGCTCTTAATGTTCTGGAATGCTTTTTGGCAGAAAGCCCTTCTAAACTGGGAGGCAAAGGAGTTCATGCAGTTTGCTACGCGCAAGGCTGCAGCTTACTTGTGAGAACAGTTGTCTGACACGTGAACCACACTCCAGTGGTGCATTAACTCCAAACCCAAATGCTAATCAGCGTGTGTGGTGTTTGTGGAGTGATGCTATGAATATATGTATACCATTGCTGATGGTGCTGCTATATCATGTTGAGTTGGCCAGTGTTGTCCAAATGTTTGTTTTCATGTCTGAGAGGAGGAAGAGGAGAAAGACTCATTTCTTCCGTAAGGCCAGAATTTCCAAAACCCTGTTTAGTTCTTGTCTTGCCTGCTACCAGACAGTCCTTGCTGTTGTCCCATGTTTCCTGTTGGGACCTTCTGCAGCCAGTATGCCACCCCAGACATTTCCAAACATATGTGCTGCTATATTGTGGCACACCAACATGTTAGCTTCATAAACCATTTGGTGAATGGTTCTAGGAGGTGAGAAAGCAATAACAATGTCTAGCTTTGCAGAGGTGTGGTGTGATTTGTAGCATCCTAGAGCAGCTTCTGCCCTGTGGAAGCGAGTGATGCTATTACTGTCCTGCTCTGTTACAGCCAGATACTCTGGGAGCGCTACCAAACCTGCGTGAGCTTTGGTTAGACCGGAACCAGCTCTCAGCCCTGCCTCCAGTGAGTACCTGTTCAGGGCCATTGATTCACCACTTTGCTCCCTTCCTCAGGTGCTCCCTCGAGCCATAGCATCTCCTTTCTGATTCTAGGAGCTGGGCAATCTCCGCCGCTTGGTCTGTCTGGATGTGTCAGAGAACAAACTGGAGCAGTTGCCCAATGAGGTCAGTGGGCTAGTAGCACTGACAGACTTGCTCCTGTCACAGAACCTGTTGGAATGCATTCCGGATGGGATTGGTGAGTATTGCAGGATGGGGAGCAGTGCAGGACTTCACTGCCTTGGCAGTGCTCCTGGCAGGGGGGCTTCAAGCAAGAGTGTATGTAACAAGGTATTAGGGCTTGATGGACATAGTCGCAATAGTTGAGTGCAGAAGTAGTAGATGATACTGGTGAGCAGAACTCTACAGGACGAGTTCAGGTTCTTGATCTGCATAATGCCCAGGTGAAACCTGTGAACAAGCCTGGTGGGGAAGAAAGGTAGTGCCTGTATTGTTAGGTTACATAATCCCTGATGGGAGGCCAGATGAATGTAGACCAGCATCATTTTCTCTGCAGCATAGTTCACACCTAGCTTGTTGCCCTGGCCAGGTCAGCTGAAGCAGCTCTCAATCCTCAAGGTGGACCAGAATCGGCTGACAGAGGTGACAGAGTCAATTGGGGACTGCGAAAATCTGTCAGAACTCATCTTGACAGAGAACATGCTGACAGTAAGTACACCAGCAGCCATGCTTCCTCTCCTGTGCTGTTCAGTTTAGCCACATGCTAGGGATCTTTTCCCATCTTCTGGCCTCTGAGCCATATTCCTGAGCATGCTCCAGCTACTCTCCCTTCAGCTGCTTTGATGCACAGGGTTTCACCTAGCTCACAGGCTCTTGAGAAGACCCTTGTGGAAGCTGCTTTCTCTTACTGTTTTTTTTTTTTCCTCTGAAAAGTTCTCTAGGATAGCTAGGATGCTGGCTCTAGGATAGCCAGTCCTGAAGCCCATCCAATCTGATGGGAGCAGGACTACATCAAAAGCTGCGTTTGGCAAGGGGCCGTGGAGTAGTGTAATTTAAAATGGCCCTGCTCCAAACTGCTCATGATTTGATCATTAAAACCCAAGCATTGGGAATAGACAGAAGAACAGGAAAAAACTGTGGTGTTCTGAGTGGTGTTCTGAGTGTGCTGTGCTGAGGTGAGGAGTTGGCATGTAGCAGTGTGTAAGCCTGAGGAAAAACCTGTCCCAAAGTTGTAGTGAGAACTTTATAAACAATGTGTATGTTAGGTCAGAATGCAGGTTTTTTTCCCCAGATAGAGGGCTTTATGCCTTTATACCTTTATTCCACTGCTCTTCTCTTTTGCAACTACTGATTCATCTGCTTCCTAGGCCTTACCAAAGTCCCTTGGCAAGCTGGCCAAGCTGACGAACTTGAACGTGGATCGGAACCGGCTAACATCCCTTCCAGCTGAGATTGGAGGCTGTGCCAATCTGAACGTGCTGTCCTTGCGAGACAATCGCCTGGCCCTTCTGCCACCAGAGCTTGCCAACACCACTGAGCTTCACGTCCTGGATGTGGCCGGGAACAGGTCAGCAGCGGGAAGGGTAAACAGGCTTGTAGGCATGTTCCGGAGGAGGCTGCTGCGAAGGAGCAGCATGGGCTGGGCCCTGGTGTCTTTTGGGAGACACTGGATCTGTGCTCATCCCAGGATCCGCTGTTTGGAAAAGCCCAGGCTGGCTGTTTAGGGTTCTGGAAAAAGGGCATGTCTCTATCAAGCTTTGCCCGTTAAGCCCTTCTCTGTGTTTCTTGAATTCAGGGTAGAACTAGTGCAGAAGCAGGGGGGCATTTTGCCATTTGTGGAATAAAGATATGGGGAAATCCCTGGTCCACTGTCTTCCTTCCTGCAGATTTTGTAGTTTGTGTCATCAGTCCTCAGGTGATTGGTGCCAAAGCCTTGTTTATGATGTGCATAACCCCACAGTGTGCAAATATCTGTGATCTATTCTGAAAGATTCTGCACATTTTAGCTGCAGTTCTGTTAGCTGAGGCTAGTATTTTTTGCAGCAGTTGGAAGCTGACCAGAGCTTCTGTTTGGAACGCTCCCTGTATACTGGTCCGTGAAAGCATAATTTTTCTGTCTTCAAACCCCTCTTCAAAGTTCACCATTTTCACATAGTTGATGGGAGTTGTGCTCTGCTAAAAACTGGTGAGGGTGGATTACTGGAGTTCAGTCTGTGGCTGTAGCAGAGCCATATGCAACATGAGCCAGCTGCTTCAGTGTAAGAGTGAGGGATCCTGCAGTGGCTTGGCTCTGTCCTTCTCCAGTGCAGGTGAGGCTGCAGCTGAGTTGAAGTTCCTTTGTTACCAAGTAAGTTTAACCAGCAGTTCTTCTTTTCTTTTGCAGACTGCAGAACTTGCCGTTTGCTTTGACAAATCTTAACCTGAAAGCCCTATGGCTGGCAGAAAATCAGTCCCAGCCCATGCTGAAATTCCAAACAGAGGATGATGAAAAGACAGGAGAAAAAGTTCTCACTTGTTACCTTCTTCCCCAGCAGCCCTCTCCTAGCCTAGGTAAGAGACTGCATTATGAATGCTGTTTGCAGTGCTGTGTACTCTGGAGAGTGCTGTAGGGAAGAGGCCCTGAACCTTCTTGTCTGCTTGGTTGGACTGTTCTTTACTGTGGTACCTGTAGCAGACCTAGGCTCCTGAATGGCTGGTGGCAACTTTCCAAGGCATAGATTGTTAAAACTGAGAAATTGCTTCTCTGCCAAGTGGTAAAGAAGCTGCAGCCTAGTCTTCAAGTCTTCTGCTTTGATCTATTGACCAAGTAGTTAATTCATTGTCTGTGAAGTTTTCTTTCTGTCATGATGATATTCTTGTGTCAATACTTCTGATTCGTGCCTTAATCCTTTTTTCTTAGCTCTTGGGTAAGGAGTGCTAGAGCTGAACCATTCAGGTCCTTTTGTAGAGGCTGCTATAGAAATGGTGGGAGATGTACAAGAGGGGACAAGATCTGGAAGCTACATCCTTTGTCCTCAAGGCCTTTATGGTTTGATGCCATGGGCAGATATAACAGAAGTGCCCTAGTGGGTTGAGAACTGTCTTTCATCCAAGTCTAAAACCCTGCTCATTCAGAAAGTAGCTCCCACTGTGTTATCTTTCTCCGCAGAGAATCTTTTGCAGAACAGTGTGGATGAGAGCTGGACAGACACCAATTTAAACAGAGTCAGTGTGATTCAGTTCCTGGATGAACCGAAAGTAGATGATGAAGAAGAGTCTGGAGCTGAGAGACGGGTAAGAAGAGTTTCTGGAGGCTTGTTAGCTCCCTATGGAAACATAGGCACAATCTAAACTTTTTTTCCTAAGATGGGGAGCCATTCGTGTTTCACCTTGTAATACAGCTGCAGACATGCACAATACTTTTGCAGTCCAGAGGGCATTTGGTGCCCTGAGGAGACAAGCAGGTATGAAAGATAATTCCCTGAGAGCCTTTGTGCAGATTCTCATTTTGACTGCTGTCCCGTGGGAGTTGAGCTGTACCTGCTAACCTGTCCATGGAGCATTTGGGTGGTCCAGAGATACTAATAGTCAGAGCACTGTCAGGACTGGATTTTAGTTGACCCCCCTCATGAGGAAGAGCTGCACAGCCAAACTCAAGCCAGGCAATCTCCACCCCTCCAAGCATGGAACCAGATGCAAGCCCATGTTGTGGAGTATCATATTACTAAAGTAGCTAAACACTGTAGACAGCCAGCCTCAAAAACTATGGAAGATCATTTTGCTTTAATTGCAGATGCAAAGGGTAGGATAAAAGTTTCAGTTTTCAGCAAGTACTCTATTGGTTTAGATCTCCTGCAGGACTTTCTTCCCTTTTTATGTTGTGGAGAGAGAGTCTCTGGAGATCTGAATCTTTCTAATAAATTGTATTTGCATCTGTCCTTGAAGCACGTGTATGCTGCTGGTGTTTGGAGATTTGGGGGGTGTGTGTGTGATTGTTTTTAACATTTTTATTAATTTTAGAATACTGTTTTTCTTGACTCTTAGCTGGGCTGAAACTAGGTAAGCATCACAAATTCTGGTAGCATATGGGCTTGTCAGACATGTTAAGAAACACCAGAGGGATTAAGAAGATGTTCCACCCCTGTGTTCCTTTAGGGGTTTCTGTGTTGACAGTTTCATGTTTACTAAGCCTGAAGCACAATTTAAAACTTCACATCTCTATAATTCCTCCCAATCCCTCTATCAGATGGAGAGCAGGATAATATCCGAGAGAGAACTGATAAGTGTTCTCTGCCTCCATTTCTTCCCTCTTCCCAGTTGCAGGCTATAGTAGTGGAGATGCCCAAACCGGATCCTGCAATGTGACATTTAGATCATGTCCAGCTGGGGCTCTAGCACTCTGATAAAACATGTTATTTGAAGTGGCCCAGTCTTGAGGCATGGCACATGTTGCTCTGAGTGTTTTTCTTTGGTAGGGCTTACAGCGCAGAGCAACTCCTCATCCCAGTGAACTGAAGGTTATGAAGAAAGTGATTGAAGTTCGGCGCAATGAGGTGTATGCTGCAAAGCCTGATGCAGACCTGAATTCTCCTAACTCAGAAGTGAGTGCTGTTCACTAAATGGATAACCATAGAGAACATGTAGTGGACTTGGGGAATGGGGAGGCAGTGTGTGTAAGCTGGGCAGAAAGAACTTACTTTTGGGAAGGATTGGAAGGGACTGAGCATGGATTGCCTGGATTCCAAGGGTTGGAATCTGCATTGTGGTGTCAGCTGGGACCACTGAGATAAAGCAGGAGATGTAGCCAGGAGACAGAGAACAGCGTAAGGGGAATTGTGTGCATTGGTACCACTTTTGTCATAACACAGGGAGAGGAAAAGAAGGTTCTGATATTCCCAGTAAAGAATGATGGGAACGGAGTGCTCAGAGGAGGCATCTTGCTGCCCAGGTGTGTGATACTAAGAATAAATGCATACACAGATGGTGGAACAGGGGTGGACCTAGGTGAGATGCAGCAGGCTTGTCAGGGAAAACAGCGGGCAGCCTGAAGAAAAAGCTGGTTCTGTTGGTACTGGTTCATGCCCCACCTCACACCAGTCACTCCACATTGCTCCATCTGCTGCTTTGGTTTCCATCTTGACTTTTACAATCATCTTCTCAGGAGAAGAGGCTGAGCGCCATGTCAAATCGCAGTGAGGACTCCCACCTTTCCAACAGCACTGCCTCTGCTGACTTTAGGGGAGAGGAGCAGGGAGAGGAGGGAGAGAGGAGCTGGCCAAATGGGCAGGTGCCTGAGATGCAGGAGCTGGAGAAGGAGGCAAAGCCCAGAGCTGAAGAGGAGCATAAGGAAGCTGCTGACCAAGAGGAGGAAGATGTGGAAGTGGAATACAATGAGGTAGGAGCCTAGAAACTGCAGCAGGGTCGTGATAAAAAGCAGAAGGACTTGAAAGTTTCAGAGAAAATGGTAAATGGATGTACAGAGTGTGATTTGGGCATCACTGGAGGCAAATACAGGCTGTGGAAGCCAAGTGCAAGTAGAGATTCAGGCAGCCTGTGGGAGCTGGGTCCATGGGAGACTAGGAAGGACAGTGTGGGAGCCAGACAGGGACTATGGGAATATCAGGGTTACAGGTTTGAGTGCCCTAAATCCCTGGAGCTGACAGAAGATGTGTCTGGGTGAAGGAGTCAATATGGAAAAAGGCAAGTATGGTGAAATTTTAACATGTATTCCTGCATTTTCTTTAGCATAAAAGCAGCAACACTGGCTTTGCCTGTGTTGGTAGTGGGGGAACAGCAGGTTCTGCACTACCTGAGGTTCACAACCTTTCTGGGGCTTTGCCATTGTAGCCCACTGTGCACTTTGCTGAGGACACACTAATACGGAGTGAGGATGAGGATGAAGATGAAGAGCGACCATTCCCAGTGGAGAAACAGAGGCTTATCCGCAAGGACACACCCCATTATAAGAAACACTTTAAGATAACTAAACTGCCCAAGCCAGAGGCAGTGGTGGCACTCCTGCAGGGACTGAACAGTGATGGAGTCCCCAAAGAGGAAGAGGAGTTAGGAGGCTGCAATAACAACACAGAGCCTGAGGATCAGGAGGAAGCGTGGGATGAGGATGACAGAAAGAATGGAGCTTTATCTGCTCAGCCATCAGTGAAGGTAAGGTCTTGTGGGGAGGGGGGAAGGTCAGAGGGGTGCCAGACCTCCCTTCTGCTAATTTGAACTACCGACCAGGCTGATGTCGTACCAACAAAAATGTTGGCAGGAGGCTCCAGCACTTCAGGAGAGATATGCTGAGGGTGGGAGAGCTGAAGTTCATTCTGGGGCTCATATGATTGTCCACGAGCTGTGCTATGTTGCTTATGTCTGACTCCTTGCGCTGTATCCAGATTCTTGCACCCTCCCCATTATGTGTGATGTTGTGTTCTGTGCTGCAGGAACAGTTCTTTTGTCCCATCACTGACAGGTTCTTCCATTCCTTTCAGTCACCTCCTTGCTTGCTGGTTGTTGCACCTCATTTGCAACAGGATGAGCTTTATCCCTGGATGGATCTAATCTCAGGCTTATGTTCAGGCTGCTTACACTTGTTTTTCTACCACAGTGCTTCCTGGAGAGGAGTGGATAGTGAGAGCAGACAGGAGCATGCCCTTCCCGTTGGTTCCACCCTCTGCCTGCCCCAGCGCAGATGCAGTCTGATGAAGTGTGCATTGGGATTTAGGGGAACTTGTGCTCTGGAGTTTTGCCATTGCCATGGGGCCACGATGGGCCTTTCTGGTTATGCTGGGCGCTGATGAGATATGAGGTCCTTGGCTCTACTCAGCTGAATCACCATGTTTGGTTAGGGACACACAGAGATTCTTGCTTGAGGAAGATCCTCTCAGTGGAATAAGAATATACTGATGAGGGACACTGCATGAGGTTAGACCAGTTCTTAATGAAGTTGGTGTGATGATTTTGTGAGGTGTATTTGCCAGGCGGGGATTAGGATGTAGCTGAATCTTCATCATAGTCTGACACCGACAGATCTCATCAGTGAGATGTGAGTCTCTGAACTGGTGGAAGATGCTGGAGTCAAATCTGTTCTTGCTGTTACCACATACACTCCAGACTGTTGGGATCGTTTCCACCCCACACTGGAGTTCAGATTGCTTAGGGCAAGGTTCTTGCACTGAAGTTAGCTTTGGAGCCTTTCTCTCAGTGGATGCTTGCCTTGCTGTATCTAAGCTGATAAAGCTTGTCCCTTGCTCCCTAGGGATGAGGCATGTAGTTTCCTTACTGTTTGTGAAGTTCTTCAGAATGAAAAGGAGTTGCTGCTGCTTGTAAGAATGTGTGAAGCCATCTTGAGTCCCCTTCATCCAAGAGCTGCCATACTTGGGAAATGCCCTCACCCAAAAAGCTTATTTTAGTTAGGGACTCAAAGCTGTGGATGCACTGACCCATTGGTAAAACCTGTAAAGTCTACATAGATGTTGAGACCACAGGTTTGGTGTTATTTATCAGAAAGTTACCTTTGTTATCGGCTAAGTCTTCTGCCTGGAAATCACAGTTTTCCTTTTGTGGGGCTGAGTTGGATGCCTGCTCCATGAAGGGAGATTTATTAGCTTGCCTCCTGAGCTGCCTTTGAGAAGTGGGAATGCGGGGAGCAGTGTCCCTGTGCAGCGGAGGTTCAAGTAAGAGGTGCTGCATGCATGCATTGAAGAAGGTAGGACAGGGTGTGCAGGAGGCTGAATCCTCAAACCAGAGGGTTTTTTTGCAAAGACAGTTGGTTTTCAAGAGAAATTCTAAGGTTTCCTTCATTTGGGAGCAGGATCGCTGGGTGTCTGGCAGGACGCACTGTTCCACCAGAGGCTCTTCCCTTTGCAGGAAGGACCAATGCAGTTTGATTTTGGATTGCTTCATTCCTGTGCAGCAGCTGGGTGGCACCAGAGGTCCCTTTGTGCTTTTCTCCTGTGTTGTTTAATCCTTCTTCACTGAATGTCTTGGTACAGAGAGGATAAAATCAGTTAATAGTGTTCAGCTTGTGAGCTTGGTGGTCACAGCCTCAGAGTGCCAACACAGACAAAATATGGCCTTAAAGATGCAGCTTCCAGTTAGCTGGGCCACAGAGCGCTGACACTCTGCATGTTGTGAGCCCTGGGAGCAGCCCTGTCGCTGGTACTTGCTGGTAGGTGGTAATCAGGAGTGGCGTGAGTGGGGTCTGCTCTGGTGCTGTGTGGCAGACCTATCAGAGTGGTGTGCATTTGTGTGTTGGGTGGTGGTGGTAGTGGTGGCGGGTTTGGTTTATGCTCCACTAATCCGCATGCCTCTTTGCTGGTTCCTGTCCTAACAGGGGGTGTCGTTTGATCAAGCCAATAATCTGCTGATTGAACCTGCTCGCATTGAGGAGGAAGAGGTCTGTACCACTCCTACTGTTCTCTCTCTGCCAAAAATCATTCAGTCTGCTTGATTTGCTTCCCAGGCTCACCCATTGTTGTAGGGGAAACTCTGATCTCTCTGGGTCAAGTGGCTTCTGGACCTGACTGATCACATACACACAATGATTGTTTCTTCCCCTGCTTTCACCTCCTTTCCCTACTTTTCCATACCTGAGGTGAGAATGGCTGCTGCAGATCAGGAGTGAGATGGAAGAAATTTAAAAAAAACAAAGTGGGCTGAGGTGGAAAGTTCAGTTCCTATTTGCTGTGCACTGAGGAAAGAGAAGGTGGAAGAAAATAAATGCATATTTCTGGCAGTGGTGGGTAACCCTGAAGGAGTAGAGGCCTCAGGAACCTGTGGAGTGCTGTGTATGACCCTTTGGGAGAGGGAGGAGGATCTAACTCAGGACGCTGTGCCATTGCATGAGAAAGGTGGACTGGAGCTAATGATTTGTGCATTTCACGCAACCCCCCTGTAGAATCCCCTCAAGTCTTCAGATGCAGCACTTTGGGTTGTCAGAAAGGGGCAGGTAGCACTAGAGAGTCCATGAAGCCCCTGGCACACGTATGGTGTTCTATGCCAAAGTTTAAAGTCCCATGTCTTGCTGCCTTAGCTTATCCTCTGACTATGATTAACTTCCTGAATTTGTTTCCAAGTTTTCAGTAGGCTTGCCTGATTCTGTGGGTCAGTGAGCTTTCTGCAGGCAGTGTTTCCAAGGAAGGGTTGGAAGCAGAGTGCTACTGTCACTGGCAAGAGGCAGAAACTGTTGTCAGTACTAACAGCTTGCATGAAGGTTTCTTCCTTCAGGACAGTACAATGGTACCAGTGCTGGCCTAGTTGCGTCTGTGAACTTGGCTCTTTGCTACTCCTTCAGTTGTAGAATGGAGGCTTTTCTTTCTTGGTTTTGGAATAAGACTTTCTGGGAGGGAGGTGGCAAATACTTTCCACTTCAAGCAAAACCTGTTAGTGTGTCCTAAAGATTTCTCCATCATAGCTCTAGATCACTGAAAAACATATTAATATTTCTTGCGTTTCTCTTTTGGATAGCTCTTCTGTCAATCAGAGGCAAAACTGAGTATAGCCAGGTGCTTCCTGATCCCTCATTTGGGAAATCGCTGCTCTTGGTCGCTTTTCCAGCTCTTAGACATCATGTTCCATTTGCAGAGTTTTCTTGCTTCTTGAGGTGCAGTGGCCCAGGAAACCTCAGTCTTGTAGTCTTGTCTTGGGAAACAGCCTGCCTGCCTCTTCCTCAGCTCCTGCCCGTGCTCCACCTGCATCTGATGGAAGTGCCTAGAACTTCTCCGTGATGGCTGGGGAGGGTAGCTGGTTAGAGGCCCCAGGTTTGCTCTGGTGTCCCTGCAGTGCAGTCTCCTTTGTGCAGGTCTGTTCCCTCACTGTAAAGAGCAACGTGGTAGTGTAGCTCCCAAGGACAAGCATACTAGAGATCCACCAGATGGGTGGTGATAGCTGAAGTCGCCTCAGAGAAGACCGGCTTTGGGAAGCAGTTGATTGTCCTACAGCTCTGGGGGAATGCTCAGCTCAGTGGATGGTTGCTGACCTCTCCAGTCAGTGATACTCTGTCATTTTAGTGGAATCATGCCAGGCATCTACCAGGACTGCAGCTCATGTGGAAGATTCAGTCTCCAGAATCATCAGTGACAACAAACTGTGGGATTCAGGCTGAGAGTGCTGTAAGTGAGAGCTGAACTCAGGCACTGTGCAGTTGGAACCCCTCACTCACACAGAGAGGGGTGCCCTTGCCATCTTTTCTAGCATGTCGGCTGTGAAAAGCACATGCCTCTCAGTGAATAGGTGGAGGACAACAGGAGAAATATTCAGGGCCTTAAAGACTACTTAGCATCTAAGTAGAGAATTAGCTTGGGAAGTGACTGATCCCAGAAATGACATCTACCTGCTGTTTCCAGGGATGATTTCATGTCCTTGAGAAGAGCCTATTATAGCTAAACCAGTGGCTGATGAAACTGAGCAAGACCATTGCGGAGTGGAGAGCCCGGTGCCCCTTGAGCAACACAGTTTAAGTTCATAATGCTGCTGTTGCATTCCTTGTATAATTTTATACAGCTCTTAGAGAGAAGACTACTGATTGTGTGTTCTTTAAGCCTAAACCATAATCCTGAGACAAAGAGTAACCTTGCCAGAGTAGAGCTGGAGACATCTGCCTAACTTCTGTCAGCAGCCCAGCATCAGGGTGTAGGTGCTATGTATGCAGCTGGTACTTCTAGAGCTCCTTTAGTTGTTAGTGCCAATGGGACTCTACTACAGTGAGAGAAATAATTCTGTTAAAGCACATGATATCTGATAGTGGATATCTGGATTCCACTGCTGACTCTGTTCCCAATGTTTTAGTCTCCATCTGCACTGCAGAAATGGCTGTATCTGGATTGTAGGGAGGCTTTTGGAGGATAAAAGAAGTGTATCAAGCTGCTATTTGAAGGCATGAGGTTGCACCTGAAGTCTGTTTGTTTTCAGATAATTTTTGAAGAAATAGTCCAGAAAAAGCTGCTATGCAGATTGAAGATAAGTGGAAAGAGGGTCCCAAAATCTGTTTAAGTGACTGATGCTTCTTTGCAATAATGGCTGATGTCATCCTTCTGTGTTTGCCCAGGCTTAACCCATCTTATGCAGAGCACCTGAAAATATAGGAGTCATGAAGGGCTCTGCACTGGCAAAACTTGTGCTGACTGAGGAGCTTTATAGGTTTTTTTTTTTCTCCCATGATGCTCTCTCCCAGCTGCACAAGGCTGCCTAGAAAGTATATGCCACTAATTTCCCTCCCTAGGAAAAAGATAGGCTGATGTTAGATGTTCAAAGCACCTTGACTTCCTTACTGGAGGGTGGAAAAGATCCTGTCAGGTGCTTCTGCTTAGGTGTCATATCCTGTCGCTCTGGAGTCAGAAGCGAGTCAAGTCTTCTCTTTAAAGGAGTTTTGTGCTGTGGAAATTGCTCAGAAGTATTACTATTTGTGTTTGAATGCAGGCCTCATGCTCGGCTCCACAGTCATTGTTTGGTAGAGGCAGATGGTGACAGCACAGCTTGGTCCTGAAGCATCCAGTGTTAAGGGGGTTCGACTTTGAAAAGGTTGGCCCGCTTAGTGCATAGCATCAGGGTGCCCTGCCATCATGAGCAGTCCTGTTCATCTCGGGGGTGCTGCTGCAATGCTCGCTTTACACTTGAACCTCTGTGCCTTGGTCTGTTTTTATTGTTTACTGGGTGAGACAGCATACTCATCGGGATATTGTCAGACTTAGAATTCTTATGTAGCAAATTGGTTTCCCTGCAATGTGACCTGTAAATTTTAAACCCTGAAAAGATTAATAAACCTCTGTTGTATAATGCAAGGAAGAGCACGTCACTTGTATTTGCTCAGCTGGCTTGACTACAATACACTTTCTGACAGAGCAGAGTCCTCTTGAAGTTGTGAAAAGATACAAAGCTCTGCTTTCTCTCATTTTTTAAATGACTAAAGTTCCCATTGAGCAAGGAAAAATATGCCATATTTTCTGCCTGAATTTGGCATTTAATTTATTGCCAGAGGAAAGTTTTATGACCTTCTCCTACTGGGTCAAAGGGCCCTTGGTATTCTTTCTTATGCTGTAACCCTCCAACAGTTTGGAGGTAGGGATTGTAATCTTTTCTTGTAGATGTACAATTTCGCATTCAGGTCTATTAAGGCACAGTTTGAATACGATTCACCTACGAAGTGACAGAGATGACTTGTGTGATTGCTGCTTTCATATCACTCTGTGTCAACTGCAAATTTTATCTGATCTGGAGCTTTCTTAAGGACCAATTGGCAAACTGTGGAATGATTTCTCACACAAATGTAGAACTATCTGCAGAGTTTCCTTTTCCTGCTCTAAGAGTATGGCACAATTATCTGATTTGCTTTCTCAAATAGAAAGAACAGAAAGCAATAGAGGAGTGTTTTTAACAGAGAGAAGATACCAGTTTTAAACAAAACACTCCACTGCGAATCTGATTTTTGGTTTTGAAATAGGAAAATGCAGTGGATATAACAGATATGGGTCTTGCTGCTTAGGACAAGGATTATACAAAAAATTTAGGCATTAAAATAACCCCTGTAGAAATTAATGGGGCTTAAGCATTTGCATGCCTCTAAAAACTGGTCCCTATTTGCAAGCTCAGTAGTATTTTCTGGCTGTGTCAACAGAGGAGAAAGGTAACTCCTGGAATAGTTTTGAGACCTTGTGATGGAAGACAATCACCAGCTTGGATCCAGGCACTGAAATGAGGCAAGATTGGGATAGGTTGCCATTTCTGAAAGATAACACTTTAGCCAAAAAAGCACTGTGCTCAATTCAGGAGCAAGAACCTAAATTTACAACGAAGATAACATAGATTATTTGGAAGAAATCATGACGTCAAGTCTCCTGCCACCACTAGCAACCAGATACTATACTGTATTTCCTAAGTCAGTCAAACTTTTTATTAAATATAGGTTGTTTCCTCCTGTTACTCAACATGTGTGCACACACACTCAGGTTCCTCCTACTGGGAAAACCCAAAAACTTCCCCAGATTTCTACTTCTTGAATGATTAGGAAACTTACTTTCAAGTTGAACTTGCATTTGTTAATTGTTTTTGTTATATTTTATCTTGAAAAATCTCTTTCCTGCTGCCTGACCCTTTGCTTGTCCTTGGTATATTTTTATGGACATCAGTAACAACTCCCTCTAGCCTTCATTTTGCTAGACTGAAGAAACCAAATTCTTATAGTGTTCTCTTTGTAAGATAGATTTCCATTCCTTGCCTTTCTTGCTGCCTTTTCATTCACCTGTTCTACTTGAATTCAGGTTTGTTGACTGTGGGTAACATGACAGAATTTATTCAGACTTTAGTTCACTGAATTCCATAGTTTTTCTTCCAGTTCAAATGTGGTAGTTTCTGTTCATGTATGGGAATTCTCTTTATCTACTTAGCTTTTCTCCCTGCATT